GAGCCAGAAGAGCAGTGGTCATCAGGTATCTGAGGCTGTACCCCACAAGGGGAGCCTGGACCACACAGATGGTCAAAGTTCAGGGAAATCCCTGGATTTGCAGGACAGAAGCTAGCATGTCATCATCTCTACATTAGGAGGAATGTTGGGCCCAGCTAAGCAGAATATGAAGGACATCAGTCACACTCTGGTCATTAATTTCCAGCCCCATTAACCCATACCCAGAAACTAAATAGTGTCCAGCCCCATTTACCATTTCCAGCTCCATTAACCCATACCAAGAAACTAAATAGTGTCCTTTCATTCACTTAGCTACAAAAATATCTGAGAATTTGACCAGGGGGTTGGCAAAACTAGAATAAGAATATGCATATTCTTTACCACTTGAGCCCCAATCAGTTATTTTTTTCAAATGGAAAAAAATTTTTAAATAAGAAAAAATGCAATTTGAAGCAGATATGGCACTGAACTGTTGGATCTGGGTGATGAATATACAGGGCTTCTTTACTTTGATGTATTTTTGGAATTACTCACATAGAAAAATTGAAAGAAATAATGTTATTGAGAATAAAGGAAAATCAAAAACAAATACATACAAGAACAACAGGCTCTGGGATAAGATGGCCTAGATTGAAACCCTGCTTCAACATTTTATCAGCTACTTAACGTGAGGTAGATTGCTTACTTTCCTACTCACTTATGAAGCCTACCTAGAAATCAAAATGAGACAAATATTTGATTACACTGTTATAAAGAATAATTGGGTGGGGGTTGTGGGGGAGGCAGAGAGACAATACAGTTGATAGGGTGCTTGCCTTGCATGCGTCTGACCCCAGCTTAATCCCTGACACTGCGTAATATTTCCCACCACCACTAGGAGGTATCCTTGAGCACAGAGTCAGCAGTTAGGTTTAAGCACCTGTAGGTGTGGCCCAAGCCCCATACTCCCCAACCACCACCAAAAATCAATGAGTGAATTGGGCCAGAGTGAGAGGACAGCAGGTAGGGCATTTACCTTGCACCAATCTGAGGATGCACACAGCCATATGGGATGCCCGAGGTCCAATCCTGGGCATCCCATATGGTCCCCTGAGCACCTCCAGGAGTGATGAACTAGTGAATTAGTTAACATACAAAGTTCTTAGGCCTGTGTCTGGCATGGGATGCCTTTCCTAATTAAGTGACATTCTTTTTTTTTTTTTTTGAGCAGTGCATAGTAGGTGCAGGGATTACTTTCTGATATAGTCAGATAGTTCAATGCTTGGCCTGGGAATGCAGTGCCTTTCCGAAAGAGGAGCCCTGGAGGCCATCAGAGCCATACCCAGAAGAGCTGGAGAGCCATTTGGTGCTTTGGACACAGAACAAGAGGTTGTGTCCAGGCTCCTGAGTGATGTCCCAAGTCTCAGCAGGCAAGATTCATAATTAAGCCAAAATCCGGGAGAGGAATGGCCTTACACAAAATCTACCTGTCCTCATCAGAGGTCTCACTAGCTTCACTGTCATTACCATTCAAAGTGTCACCCTCAAACGTTTCTTTCCTTAATTTTCCAGAACCAGGTGACCTCTATGTGGCTTTTATTTCTAAAACCTATTTGGTCAGTTAAAAATACTTAGAAGATATTTTGGAAAGAAAATATTAAAGTATTATTTAAATGCAATATTGGACGAGACTTATAATATCCTCCCCTCAAACACGCACATGCTAAAAGACTGCCACATTTTCATCATATGCTTGTGAATAACTTACCAAATATATGAAAGCATTTTTCTATTTGAAATTTTTTCAATCTTCTTAACAATATCAAGGTGGGATAAATTATGTGAGAAAATGCTATATAAAATGTAGAGTGAGGCCATGTAAACCAACTCAACTGCAGATAAGTGAGCGATAATCCCACATGTATTGGTTTAAGCTACTCAGCACGGTGCAGTATAAAAAATATTTGTTGAATATTTATCTAACAACTAGGGATATTATCTAAAAAATTAAGAAATTCAACCATGCAAGTTGAATACAGTTTAGAGATTAGCCTAATGAATGAAAGGAAATAACTTTTAGGTATCACCAATTGTTCAGAAAAGACCATAACTTGCCTTTTGCTAAGAACCTTAAATACACAATTTCCTGTCAAACTTCCTGACTGTACAGGTTGGAAGTGGATCTAACTGAGAAACCTGCAGGTGAGCAGATGGGGGGAGGGTGGGGAGGGGGAAGGTGGGAGAGGCATGACTGGAATCTTTGCAGAACTGCTATTAACACTTAAAAATATTTTTCCTGCTATAAAAACAAAAGGATATTGACAAATGATAAATCAAGAAAAGCTTTTCTATTTGAGAATCTCATGTTTGTTTTTTTTTAAAAAAAAGAGGGGGTGGAGGGGAGGGAATACTTTCAGATTTTCAGCACTGGTTAATTCAACCAAGTCAGGATGTGCCTTTGGCTGAAATTCAATTGCAGTAAGGCATAGTTTTGTCTATGGACTTTTTTCAAAGCTCCCTACGCAAGCTAATTATGCTTTCCATCATTTATATGTTACGAGATGGTCTGGAATCACTTAAAAGAATCTAAAATATTCTGGGGCTGGAGTAATAGCACAGCAGGTAGGGTGTTTGCCTTGCATGTGGCCGACTCGGGTTCGAGTAGCAGCATCCAATAAGGTCCCCTGAGCACTGCCAGGAGTAATTTCTGTGTGCATGAGCCAGGAGTAATCCCTGTGCATTGCTGGGTGTGGCCCAAAAAGAAAAAAATCTAAAATATTCTGGTATACAAATTGGAAGAAGGTGGTGGGGAAGGAGAAATGTTAAGGTAGGAACCCCAAACCATAGATTCTGGGCCTGGCTTTGCCAAAAAGTGTCAACATGAGATTCTTAGGAGATTCTTTCACCGTTTTCTAAAGCATTCTTTACAGCAGGGCTGTAGAGATAGCACAGGATTTGCCTTGCATGTGGCCGGCCCGGCCGACCCAGGTTCAATTCCTCCGCCCCTCTCTGAGAGACTGACAAGCTACCGAGAGTATCTCGCCCGCAAGGCAAATCCTGGCAAGCTACCCATGATGTATTTGATATGTCAAACACAGTAACAACAAGTCTTACAATGGGGACGTTACTGGTGCCCGCTCTAGCAAATCGATGAACAACAGGAAGACAGTGCTATAGTGCTACAGCATTCTTACTCTTCTCATGCCCCCCCCCCCCCCCCAGAACAGGGAAAACAGAACTGCGTGCCTGCCCTGCAGAGGCATTTGATCAATTACTCCATCCGTTATTCCTGTTATTCCAATCTGTGTTCAGGGACCAGCTGACATTAGCTGCCTCTGCTTCCCCTCACCCTGGCTGCGTCTCTGCATTGGGCACTGGGCTTTCCGACTTACACAGCTAAGCCAGAGTGGCTCTTGCTGCTGCTCTCCAAATTCCGGCTCCAATAATACCAACATCAAACAGCTCTTCCCCTGAGTTTAGCACCCCACACGACACAGCAGAACAAGATGAAGTCAAATGGCCACAGAGATACTGCCCACTTCCCACCAGCCCTCACATCAGTTTGCAAGTTCTGTCCTGCATACATTTTTTCTGCTTTTTTTTTTCTGGTTCCTTACAAGGCCTTTGAGAGCCTCTGTAGTGTGGGCTCACTTGTTTAGCTTTCATATCAACTCTAGAATTTATTTCTTCTCCCATTTCTTTAATACACAGTAATCACAGAGTTCATTGTCGAGGCAGGGGGTGGGGGAATTTCCTAAAATCTCTTTCCCCTTAAAGATCATTTAATTAACATAATTCTACTGAGTTTTGTTGGCCTTATTTAAGGTCACTTTAAGCTAAATCACTTTGGGCATTACAATGTATCACACCTATTTTAGGATAGAATACTATTTTAATACTATCTTAATCACATTTGTAACTATTAGAAGAATAACACATTTATAACTATTTTAGAGTATAAGGTAATAATGCCTTTGTTCCATTATTGAGCCAGACTTCAAAAATATGGGTGGGGTTTGGGGGTTGAACCAGGCTCGGTGCTTTGGAAGACCAGGCAGCGCTGGGTACTGAACCTGTGCTTCCTTCATGCAAATCATTTGCTCCAGCCCTTTGAGCATCTCCTCAGTCTAGAAAACACTACTGTAAAGTATATGGATGGGTGATTATCAAATTTATATTTGCTTATTTGGGAGAATTTTTTAAAATTAATGTCTGTAACCAAATTTATCCCTGAGGCCCAGAGAGGGGATCAGGGCCCATGAGTCACATGCTGCTGTGGCAGCCTTTTGGGCCAGTGCCTGCCATGCGTAGGGCAGGCACTGAATTTGACACAGCTGCAGAATTTGGGGGAACTTAAAAGGAAATGATAGGGGAATAAAAGGGGAATAAATATGAATAGAAAAATAATGAGAGGAAAGAAGATCAAGGCAAGGAGAAGCTTAGTAATACCACTTGTCTAATACTTAGTATCTGCCTAACACTTAGAAATTGCACTAGATTTTCACTGGTTTTGATTATCTCACATCCCTTTCTAAGTTCCTGTGGATCAAACCCGGGGGTCTCACGCATAAAAGGCACAGGCTCAACCACTGAGCCATACTTCTGGTCCTGATCTTGACTATGGCTTAAATTCATTCTGAAATAATGCTGTAATAAAAAAAAGAACATTTTAGTTTAACTGAGCAACATTTATTTTATAGGATCTTAGACACCAGAATTTGAAGTAGCATTATAGCTTCCTTTATTTTCCAATTTATTTACATTTTGTTCTTCCCCTCCAACGAAAGTATTCTATGATTGCATACAATTTTTTAAAAATATTTTAGAAATATGTGACCTGGGTGGTGAAAGCCTTCTCTATAAATCTGCCCACACCTCTAGCTGCAAGTTCCTAGTATTTTTCATATTTATTCCTAAACATATAGTAGTATATACATATATATACACACATATATGTATATATATACATATATATCTTAGTAATCAACACATTGTTAACTAGGAAAGATTCCACCACTTACCAAAATAAGCCCTGATATTAGTGAGGAAGTGCCTGTCAGGGCCACGTAGAACTTCGGTGTTAATGTGTTCAAAAACATGCTCACTGGAAAAAAAAACAGAGGGAGAAGAACAAGGAATGCATGAGTATGTCAGGAAGACCAATGAAGAGTTTTCGTTCTTCTTTCTGGTGGAACTTTCTCTTTTTAATGATAAAAACTTTTAGAACCATAGCAAAGTCCCAATAAAATAGTGCAGCATTGGTTTCTGCCTCCCGACACTGTTTCGATATTCATGGAGTCATCACACCAACTCTCAGCAAAGCTGGTTACTAAGCTGTCAGTCAGAAAGAGATGTTCTTCTGTGTTTTGTGGGACCAACGCATCAGTCTTTGATGAACTAAGAAGCAACATCTCAACCTTAGAACAAATGAGAAATTTGTTCTAAAGAAACATATACTAGGCATTACAATTCTATGGAGATCACTTAGAAAGGATAACTGACCAAAGTTAGCATAAATGCAGGGAAAAAAATTTTCTGGCTTACTTAAAAGGACATTAAACTGCTCATCAGGATAACTGAATTCAATAAAGATAAACCAATAAAATGAGTATGCACTATAGCTGCCTCCTGACCAACTCCTGCTACCCTTACTGTCAACTATACACCTGATCTGGTACAACTTTAACTGAGGGTCATTTATACATTTTATAAATTCATTTTAGTTCATTATCATTTATATCTAGATGCCACACAAAGCAGATTATAACCAAATCAACAACTGCCCTAAAAGACATTTTGCACACATATTCTCACTCATCACTTCATTTGTTTGTGGGAGGGGATTACACCCAGTCAGGTTGAGAATGAGGGATCATAGTAGTAGAACTTTGATACCATCAGGAGGAAAGACTTTAAGGTTTTGTCATAAACTTGGTTCAGAAAGCAGTCACCAATCAACAGGAATGGAACCCCTTTCCCCCACATTCACTTATTTAACAAGTATTACTGTTTATGAATGAAACTGTTCAGAGAGTACAGTAGTGTGATCCGAAACATCGCCCACCCTCTAAAAGACCCTGGTCTAGCTGGGAAACTGACAAATGAGAAGACAATTATTATTTGTTCATTATTACGATTGTTAAGTACACACACAGAGAATTTTATGAAAATGCATTAAAAAGGTGCGTGTCAGGCTGGAGATCTGGGAAGATTTCCTGGAGAAGGGAACATAGAAACTGAGTCCTCAAGAATAAGTAGATGACTGGTTAAAAAAAACTTTGGTACATATACACAATGGAATACTATGCAGCTGTTAGAAATGATGAAAATTGATCCAAGTGGATCAACACAGAGAGTATTGTGCCAAGTGAAATGAGTCAGGGAGAGAGAGAGAGAGAAAGAGAGAGAGAGAGAGATAAAATTACTGCACTCATTTGTGGAATACAAAGCAAAAGAATGGGAGACTAACACCCAAGGATAACAGAGATAAGGGTCAGTAGGATAGCTCCACAGCTTGAGAGCCGGCCTCACATGCTGGAAGAAAAGGCAGTTGGGGTAGAGAAGGGACCACTAAGTAAATGATGCTTGGAGGGCTCCTCAAGATGGGAGATGTGTGCTGAGAGTAGACTATGGACCAAACATAATGGCCACTTACTACCTGTATTGCAAATTATAACATCCATAAGTAGAAAGAAAGTAAAAGGGGATGTGCCTGCCACAAAGGTGGGGGGTGTGGGGTAGATTCGGGGGGGGGGGGTGTCAGGAGGAATACTGGGATCACTGGTGGTGGAGAACGGACACTGGTGGAGGGATGATCATTGTATGACTGAAACATAATCACGAAAGTTTGTAAGTCTGTATCTCACCATGATTCATTTAAAAAAAAAAAGTATTTTCCACAAAAATAAAATAAAATCTTACCCAACTACCAGAGGGGAAAAATGAATAAGCAAGAGTCATTCTGTCAAAGGGGGCAGGAGAAGGGCTAGAAGTGCCCATGAAGAGGACCAGGGCCTACTCTGGGCACTGAAAAGAGCATGGCCTTTCCACACGGTGCTTGCTAAAGAGAGGAACCTGAGCTACAGAGCCTTCACAGAGCAGCAGCTGCAGCAGGGCATGAGAAGCCCATCTTCCTGGCAATGGGGAGACTTCTCAATATAGACAGACTCACTGAGACCACCACACAGTTATATGACCCACTTTGATTTCCAGGCTGTCATTTATAATCACAAGAGTCTGAATTAATACAATAGGCTCAGTCAACATTCAGAGCTTGACTGAAATGACTCTTACTGCAAGAACAGCCTGAAGAGGAGATCAACCCAGAGCTCTAAGGGTAGGATGGAGCCTGGGAAGAAATGGAGTTTGAGTTGACAACAACAGGACCAGAAAGATAGCACTTTCAGGTAAGACACTTGCCTTACTCATGCAGTCACCCCAGGTTCAATCCCTGGCACCCCATATGGTCCCTGAGTCCTACCAAGTCCTACCTCAGCGCAGAGCTAGGAATAGCCCTAAGTAAAGCCAGTGTGGCCCAAGAACAAAAAATAAATTAAAAACACACAGGGATTTGTCATTTTCCATATCCCAGTTGGTGGAAAAAAGCAGGTATTTTAAAAGGGGGAGGAGGGAACTCAAGCAAATAAACTTCCTAATTGCCTGTCTCATACTGGGCTGCCAAAAATCCTTCAAACCCCTCACACCACGAATAACTGCATGATCTTCATTATTAAGATAAAAAAAATATTGTTCACTAAAGCAGAATAGTTGCTTTGCTGTTCTGTAGTTATAAACACTCAAATTTTTACTGTATACTTTTGGTAAGTTTAGGGGAGGAAAAAAATTGAGCACAGAATTCAGTTGAATCCCTTTCTAAAAGAGAAAGAGAAAAGCTCTTAGAAGCATTTCAGTAGACCTTCAGGTACATTGAAGGCTAGACCACACAACCCAACTAAGTAGGGGCAAGGTAAGGAGACACATGTGAAGAAGTTGTGAGGACAACAGATTGGATATGAGGAAATCAAGAAAGATGTCTTCCAAGAAAAGTATCCTGTCTAAGGCCTATACAGATGAATCAGGAATTATCCAGTAACATCTCCATGGCTGCAGGGGTGAGGCTGCTCAGTGAGAGGGAGGGCTGCCCAGCATTACAGATACAGTGCATGCCTTTGAGAGGACAAGGGGGGGGGGGGGGGTGGTCACAGAATTATATCCTTAGGCACTGGTGGGAAAATACGAATATTTAAATTGTGTCAGGAGAAGTAAATGTACTATTAGGAAACATTCTCTTCTTTCAGCTTATTGCTCTTTCAATCTTGCCAATAGTTCTTTCTTGTCAGTTTCTGTTAAGTAAGGTTGCAAATTCACTCTGTCCTTCCCCACTTACCTAAGGGCACAAGGTAAAAAATTAGAAACCTGAAAAGCCTAGCTTGCACACATGCTATTTCACACAAATTTTCACTTTTCAGAGTTTTGAAAGTTAAAGAACTTGCCCTCTTACTCAGAATGATTCTGTGATGAGCAAACTCTAAAGAGATTCTGATGACCCCTGCCTCCTCTGTTAATATCCTTATGCAATTCCCTCCCTTTGAATATGGATGGGCAGATGACTTGTTTCTAACAAAGGACATGTAAGATACCATCTGGCCAGCAAACCCGCCAGAGTTTCCTCACTAGTTCAGTAATGTGGCCAGATAGAGTGGTCCATGTGGCAATGGGCTGACTACAAGCACCCTCTAGGGGCTAGCGCCAATATGAAACTGAAACTCTCAATCGACAGCAAAGATCTTGACAGCAGCCCAAGAGAGCTTGCACGGAGATTCTCTCATAAAGAAGCCTGCAGATAAGATCACAGCCTAGAAACCTTGATTACAGCCTTGTGAGACCTACAGCAAAGGACCCCTCCACCCCCGCCCCAAGTTCTGCCTGTACTGCTGACCCACACAAATAAGGAGAAGGCAAATGTGTGTTATATTTTAAGCTGCTATATTTATGTCAATTTGTTATGCAGCAATATAAAATGGGCATCACCATGTATAATTCATGAAAGAGAAAATCAATATGGACATCGAATGACTCTAAACAGCTTCAATATGCCCAGAGAGGGAGTTGAGATAAGCCAACTTTAGCCGCCCCAAGAACTTATTTCTCAGTTATTTATAAGGAAAGTGCAATTTCAGCCTCTGCTGTCCTAAGAGAACCTTGTTTCACATGCTTATATATAATTGCATTTGCAAATCTAGTCTTTTAAAGAAGAAACTGGGGTGAAATTTTTAAAAAATTTTTTTCTTCTTTGCTTTTTGGGTCATACCCAGTGATGCACAGGGGCTACTCCTGGCTCATGCGCTCAGGAATTACGCTTGACAGTGCTCGGAGGACCATATGGGATGCTGGGAATAGAACTTGGGTCGACTTCGTGCAAGGCAAATGCCCTCCCCGCCGTGCTATCGCTCCAGCCCCTGAAATGTTCTTTAATATAAAAATCAAGTACTTTACATGTTCCCTTCAATAGGACATATATTTTAAGTATGTCATTTTTCTTGCCATCCATTTTAAATACTTGAGTGTTGTAAAAAAAATACTTGCATGTTGAAAAAAAAAATCCGTTTGGGGCCAAACATATAGTAGAGAGGGTATGATGCTCACCTTATGGTTTCCTAAGCCCCACCAAGAGCGATCCCTGAGCAGAGCCAGGAGAAAGCCCTGAGCACTGCTGGGTGTCTCACAACTCACTGTCATCTCTCCCCCAAAATTAGTTTTCCATCTAGGCACAGCATCATCTGAAAGCTGACATGAAACACATGAGTATTTTTCTCCTTTGCTGCTGCTTCTTCTCCTTTCACCTCATCCCAGCCTCCCTTGAGCTTTCCTACTTGCCTCACAAGTCCCTTGATAAATTCTGTGGCGTTTATCCTTGTGAGGGAAAGAAAAAAAAAGGATGTGTAAGTTTATTTTTAGACCCATTCCTAAGGCAAGAAACCCTCACATATCGTTCTTTCTTCTCCCTCCACCCTTGCTGTTTCCTTGGCAACGTTGCAGGTATACTCTTTCTGCTTTCCTGAGCATCTGGCCTGCTGAGGAGTGAGGCTGAACACGGTCCTTTTT